AACTTGGAGACTAAACATCGTGCTCAACGCATTAACAAAGAGTCTCTTTGAACCGTTAAGGAAAGTGACTATGAAATTTCTACGGATGAAAGTCTTATTTCTGGTGGCGATAACGTCTGCTAGGAGGATTTCGGAATTGGGGGCACTATCCACTAGGTCAGATCTCTGCGTCTTTCACAGGGATAAAGTTGTCCTTCGAACGGATCCTGCCTTCTTCCCTAAGATCAATTTGATATTCCATAGGTCCCAGGAAATCTATTTGCCATCCTTTTCACCAAATCCGGTACATCCAAAAGAAAAATTGTGACACACTTTGGACGTGAGGAGGGCTCTCAAATGCTACCTACACAGGATGGCTTCCTTCAGGAGATCAGAGGCCATGTTTGTAAACATATCTCCACCACACACAGGAAGGAAAATGTCCAATTCGGCCATAAGTGCGACCATCAAAAAGTGTATTGCAGAGGCATACAAGAGCTCAAATCTGTGTGTTCCCGATGGAGTTACAACACATTCTCTGCAGAGCGCGGCTACAAATGCAGCGTTAACTAACAGGGCTTCGGTTGAAGAAATATGCAAGGCCGCTACGTGATCTTCACTGTCCAGCTTTATTCGACACTACAAAATCAACGTCTATGACTGCTGATGCAGCCTTTGTGAGGAGAGTGCTACAACCTGTACTCCCTTCTGATGATGACCACCCTCCCGATATTTAGGGACACTGCTCTGGGAGGTCCCACAAGATGGCCTTCGCCTCAGGGGAGAATGACCATTGGTACTCACCGTGAAGGGTCCTTCTCTAAGGCCTGGAGGACATCTTGGCCCTCCCGGGTTGTCATCTACTTTACGTTTGTCTATTTCCATTATTCACAATTACCTACAGAGAGAAGTGAGTCGATCAGATTTATACCAGATACTAAGTGTGATTTCTTCCTGTTCGACTTTTCTGATTCTATTGTTACCTTAATTCTTATGGTTAATAACCTATGTTACGAGTTATCAAGTTCTTAGAGTATTTTCAGCTTAGAATACTGCTTTCGGAGCCCCCGAAACTGAGATTGGGGTGACTCCCACCACAGGAAACAGGAAGTTTGAATTGTTCCTGCCTCCCTGAATGATGGATGGGAATCACCCACAAGATGTCCTCCAGGCCTCAGAGGAGAAGGGCCCTTCATGGTGAGTACCAGTGGTCGTTCTTCTTGGCTCAAAGACCATGTATTGTAGCCTTTAGCTCTTCCAAGTCCATGGTGTGGCTTTGATAACGGTGAAAAATGTCTGCCCCCATTGTCACGCGTTTGAAATGTTTCAGGAAATTAATAACCTTGTAAATTCTGGCTTTCTCAGAACACACAGTTAAGCTTACTTCCTAGATAGCAGATGAAATGGTTGCTGTTTCTGGTATGACTTGACAACTGTTAGGTTAGTCATGAGGACGTTCATGGAGATCAGATTCATGCAACCAGTTACAAATTGGACTTATGGCCATCTGGCTAGTCCTGGCCACCACTATAGAGAATATGGGTCAGCCGGTAACTGGAATTGGCTGTACCTTATTTCTGAATAGGATTCCTGTTCATTTCTTGTAGCTGATTTTCTTGGCCAGCTGGCAACCTGCTGCTGATTTTCCATAAATGAAGTCATACAACTGGTTGCATTGTGGCTCTTGATGTCAGGACAGCTTTACTTGTTGCTGATGAGATCTCTGGGCATTTGGAAGCTTCTGAGTCCGATACCTGGACCACAATAAAATGCTCTTTCAAATTCATGTCTTGCAGCTGTGATCAACATGTTGGAATGTTCTCTACCATTAAACTATGGCCCCTCTCCTGCAAACCGCTTATTGTATAACTGCTGTTTAAAATGCTTCATGTGGGGGTTATCTTTAGACTCAACCTATGCAGTTAACTAATTCTCACTGTACATCACCACCATTCCACTTAACTGTGATGGTGGCACCTTGGTAACGTTTGATTATTCATCAACTGTCTAGTATTCACATATTCCGTGAATCAAAGAATGCTTTTATGGAGGTGATAACCTTCCTTATTAATTGCATCCTCCAGGATTCTAGCTATATATAAACAATTTAGGAAAAGACACCCACTACTTTACTCTGACTTTATGTTCAAAGGTTGATTGGTTTGAGCTTAATTTTATTTTAAGCTGTTTTTGTTATCCTTGGGGTTCCAGAATTAAAGTTAATGTAAATGGCTTCATCTCTTGCTTATCTTCCATCTAAATATAATTGTAATTTGTAGTGCATGGATTAGAATTTCATATTTTCATAATTAATGAATTTGGTTTTTGTAAATCTTAAAGTAACTGTTTGACTGGTATTTGGCTAGTTCATCAAATGAGCTAACTAGGCTGGAGGCTCTGTTCCTGCCACCTGATTAGAGCTACGATGTGAAATGTTAATAGACCTTCGTTGGTCTTAAAGGTGCCATTGGACTCAAACTTTGTTCTGTTTCTGAGGAAGTGTGCTTGCATACAAAAAGTTACACCTTGGTCTTAAAGGTGCCATTGGACTCAAACTTTGTTCTGCTGCTTCAGACCAACATGGCTACCCACCTGAATCTGTACATTACCTTGTTTACCCATAGCATTCACAATTTAAAGTGCTAGCTTAAACTTGCAAATTCTCTTCTTTTGTCCTGTTGTAATGGAGAAAAAATATATACAGCTGTATAGGTCCATGCACAAATATGTGTAATGCTCTTTCTTTTGGACCCAACATTGTGCAAACAAGATAGGAGAGTAGAAGGAAGATTTTTCAGGCTCTGATATTAAGGTCTGATCTTGCATGGATCTTCTGTGAAATGTAAACAGGCAGTTAGCTTAATTTGATAGTTGAGGTGTTGAGTTACAGCATAGGAGGGACCAGGTTCTTTTGAATTGACATGGTCTGGATTTGGTGTGTAATATCACCCAAACAAAACTGTACTTAGAAAAAATGTGCACTTTTGTAAAATATTACCTTTGGCAGAATGAAATTTGAGTGGCACCTTTAAGACCAACAGAGGTTTATTCTGGGCATAAGCTTTTGTGTGCATGCACACTTCTTCAGATACATACCAATATGAATCTATCATTTGGCTGTACAGGAATAGAACAAAGGCACCAGGGAGAAAGTGTAAACAGCGAATACAATTTTGTCAATTTCACCCTTATATTTTTTTAAACTTCAATACGCATTGCAGGGGAGGGGTAAAAATGAACTCAAAGCTGTCAGGATTGATGCTAAAGTTTACAGAAATTGCAAGGGGGCATAGAATATTACAGGGCAATTGACCTCAAAGTTAAGGAATATATGCATATGAAGTTGTAGAACACTGGAAGAAGTTCTGTAAACATTGTTCTTCACTTCTGCAAGTTAAATTGACTCCACTTTTTGATCTAGTAGTGAACTAAAAAAATGGACTGACTACCCTTTCAATAATGTAGGCATTCTTATGTTGTAATGCTTTCTGGCCCTTGGCCTGCTTTGATCAGATAGTACAGCCCATACCACAGTATGATGCCTTTTAAATATAATAGCAGCATGGTGCTTCTTTCTGTGGTGTAACACTGAAAAATTCAGACAGAGCCAGTTACATGAATCCTGAACAGTTAGTACTGCCCAGGTGGGATTGGAGGCAACAACTGTTGCGATCAAAGAGATCCTTCCATCTGATTGTCCCTAATATTGACTGTGCAGCATTGATTTGTAAAGACCCACCAAATTGGCCCTGGTTTCATGGTGTCTGACCTTTTGAATGTTACAGCAGACTGCTTCTGTAATCTTGGAACAGTACCTGTGTCATAGAAAAAACACACTGCAAATGTGTGCTGATGGAGCAAATAGGACATATAACCACTAGACAGATGTGCAGTAAGAACCAGAATGTTAAATTGACTATGGGAAAATTAAGCACATAGAATTCTGAAACACGTGTAAAGCTGGCTTGTAAACTTGAACAAAAAGATGCTTTATTTAAGATAATTAGTTGTTTATATGCTGCCATAAATATACATGGTGCTTTTGACTTTTAAAACAAAGAGTTGTCCTGGCTCTCACATGAGCTTACAACAGAAGTGAGCAGTAAGAAAGACAATAGGAATAGAGAGGGAGAAACACATGTTTAGCAAGGAATGAACAAAAGCAAATATAACCACACTTCCTAGAACTTTGTTATTATTTGGGACTGAGGATTAAGGAGTTAAACTGAAGACCATGCAGAAAATATGGATTTTGAGGGGGGATCAAATGGATGCCTGAGAGGTTTAACTGTTTTTATTTATTTAAAATATTGTGAATGTGTTGCCTACTGTGGATCATCCTGCTGTCTACAGTTAAAGGTGGCTGTGACCTTTAATGTCGTGCACCTGCATGAAGGAGGACATTTCTGTCCAATAAAACATCATTGCTTGCAATACCATTGTTGAATTAGTACTGTTTAGATAGTTGCTGATTAAACTAGATCACTTTTAGAATAACAAGTCTGGCTGTCATCCTTCAGTTATTTCTAACCGAACTTTCCAGTTAGTTTGCTTTTGTAAACAGTCTCACTGTAACAGCTATTTGGAGATTTTTGTGCTACTGAGCTCCAGTCTTATAAATGTAGCTCTCCTCAAGATCCTGGAGGTTTTATCTGCCACTTCAGGATTTATATTCATTCTTGGTGGTGAAACGGCATAGTAGCTCTTGAAGGGCATGCCTTTTCAATACTGTCCTGATACAAGATAAGATAGTTTCTTACTTTGTTCATAAGACTGTAGGCCATATGTTAATGCTTACACTTTGAAGCTATTCATTCTAACATCTCCCAAGTTAATAATTGTTGAAGATAGATAGGACTAGTTGGAGTGTACGCAAGTGATGTTTACCCTTTTTTGTAGGGTAATATTGCTATTGTCCTTTCACCTTTTAATTCCCCACCACTGTTTTCCTCCAAGTCTTACTTCCTTTCAGTGATCTCTCTTTAAGACATGTTTCTCTGATATCTCCTTTTTCCTTGTAGGTTTTCATCGCTTTCATAATAAGCCTGAGCTGGTGCAGCTTTTGTGGAAACCAGGCTATGCAGTGAAACCATCTGTACAGGCCATCTCTGTGTCAGGAGGTACTCTTCAGATGCTCCTGGGTCTGATGTCCAAAGTTTTCAGCAACATTGAAAGTGAAGGGTGTAGGTTGATGGTGGATTTGGGGTTTTCTTGCAGAGGAAAAGAACCAGCCTCATTAATAAGTTCACAAACATTATTAGCCTGTCTAACCATTCATCCTCTGGATTTTACAGTTCTTTTCAAAATCTAGACAAGTGCTGTAATCACATTTAAAAACCACAGGTAAAAAGCAGCTGTTGTGGGATTACAAAAATAAGAAAGAAGGAAAACACACATTTTGGCTTTTACCCTGCCTTGAAGTAGTTTTAGAGAAGCGTATGTCATACACACATGAAGATAAGCCTGCTAGAACATGTGGAAGGATGTTAATAACATCAAGCTGTCATGTGTTGTACAGTAAAGAGTTGTTCTTGTCAAGGCTTAGCAGTTCAAGTCTGTGAATCTCTGTGCTTCCCACCACCAGCATTCAGTACTGTGTTTCAGGTTCGGGCTGAACCTGTTTCACCTGCCAAAAATCAACGCTGAAACATACAGCTTCGAAACAGAAGCATATTTCCTGCTGTGTAAACACACACTTCTGGGAAGTAGTTTTTTTTTAAAAAAAACACTAATATTAGACCCTTAAAAATAAGTGGAAAACACAAAGGAAAACCATGGGTACTTAAATGAGGTATAGATTGCTGTTTCCCTTTCATATATTCCATGTGGCTGGGGAAGTAGATGGACACCCCCCCCACACTCATCTCTCTATTTTTATAACCAGTGTTGACAGTAGAGCTTTGCAGCCGATCATGGGAATCCTAATCTCACCCTAGAACTTAATTTGAGGCAAGTTTTGGGCAGCATCTATTTTTTCAGTGCCAGGACCCCTCAGCCAAAGAACTTTGACTTTAACAAAGGGCATATGAGTGCTTGAAAAGCATCCTTTCTTCATCACTAATAACCAGCCCACACATCTGTTGAGAGGGCGATCTTACAAAGCTCAGAAATAAGCCGCACACAGCTGTCTCTTTTCCAGTCCTCTATTCAAGTACAGGCAACTATCTGCATGAATTTAACAGGCATTCACTAATAGTTGCCAATACACAAGCAAATAGAAGTCAAGCTAAGGAAAGGACGTAAGAGCTTGTTTAAATACTGGGTGGGGGGAAAACTAAGCAAGAGGTTGTTTGCATAGCAAAATGGCTAAATTTAACAGTGCACAAAAGCAACCCTGAACTGATCTTTAAAATGGCTAAAATCACAGTGAAGACCTGTGAATCATAGATTCTGCGTCAGCACCTGCAAGTTTCGGAGCAATTTACTTCTCCAAGTGAGTAGTTATTTGCAGGCATGGATATCACTCCGTGTCCCAGTTAACAAAATTTACCAGTGTTGTTGCCAAGCGTGAGACTGCCATCTTCAGTTGCAGACCTTCTAGAATACCATTTTGCTTAAACATCCTTATGTTCAGCCAATAGTGTGGGTGTTTTTATGTTTGTTACTTGGCATTTGCCCTTTCCTTCCCATCTGTTGATACCTGCTCTGGGTCTGCAGTATCTGGGCCATCTTTCTGGTTCCACCCTTCCATTGAAGCTTTTCAGTATTTTTCTTCACCTATATGTCATTGAACTTTATGAAATTTAGCTAGAGTTGTAATGAAACACGTCTTTAATAGTGATAGACTGAACTGACTACAAATTAAACAGTTCCTGATGAGCAGTTATTCGAGGCAACACCTTTGAGAGCCTCATGTTAAAATAGCCCTCTCTTATTTTTGTATAATATGTGTACATATACATATATCAGAAGATATCAATCTATATCTGATACAGTATCTTACCCACTGCAAAAATTAACATTGGCAACAATCTTTTGATAACGTCAAGTAGTGGCTTCAACCGTTGTTTCACTTATCCACAAAAAGGCTATGCACTTTGACATGTTCCAATAGGTTTTTCCCCTTTTTCTCCAATTTCTGCTGTAGTGGCCTGCCACTACTTCTGTCTTTCCTTAAATTATTTCTCTCTAGCAGTATGAGTACTAGGAGACAGCAGTTAGTGGGACTTTCAGAAGTGCCTAAGTAAGATTTCAGTTTTCATTGGAGCTTCCATTCTTGGGTACTTTAGCAAAACCTCATGAGCTTTTCTGTTCTTGTAAAGCTATTCCAGAGAAGTGCATGGGTTTTTAAAGGTAGCTTACAGTTTGATATAGAATGATGCAGATAAGCACTGCAAAGATTAAAGCCTTGTTTGAAGAATATTTATGTCAGATGGTCATGGGACCACCTGTAGTTTTAGTATAAATGTCAGGTCTCATCTCAAAGATAGCAGCACATATCCCTGAATGCCTAGATTAATTAGAATAGTGCCAGAGAAGACCTAGATTTGAGTGCAGTAGTACCTTAGAGACAAACAAGCCCCTTTGTCAATAGTGCCATAGACTTTCTCTTCCTTAAGCAAACAGTTGGGTCTCCCTGTTTGAGTACTGATGAGGTCTGACCTTGGTTGGTTTGAGATCTTGCAACACAAACTATAGTGTTGAAATAGGCAGGTACAGTTTATATGTGGTGCTAACAGCATGTAAACTGTGCCTTGAATAAGAGGTCTTGTGTGATTCTACTAAACGATGACCTTGTCTTTCATTACAAAAGTCTTATCAGTCATTCTGTTTTACTGAATAGAAATGATTTGGTCTCATATAGTGAGTCTTTCATTAGACACTGTCCACACATCACTTACTTTTAAGTTCTTTCTGTCCTTCCCCTGGTGGTGCAGGTTTAACTTCCAGCAAATGTGAGTTACATTTCTTGCTCCCACAATTGTTGCATTGTGGACTTTTTCGGGAGTTTAGCACAATAATATGGTGTATGCACCCTGCTATTTAATATGAAGCTTGGAAAATAGAAAAAAATTTCCAGCCATCTAGTGCTTGAACACCACTGCTCTTCCAAACAAAAGTACACATTACAGGCAAAAACATGGTGCATATCTGTGGGAGGGAAGAGAATGCTTAGTGGCGTTCTGGGTGCATCTTCAGTCTGTTGAAGTTACGCAATAAAGTCCAGTAAGCCCTTAAATTGTTAGATCAACAGGATGCATAATATTTAAAACTGCATCTGCATAAAGGGATTTATGACTAAAACTGCTTGTTTTTCTACAGACTTGTCTGGTGTTTCTCAGCTTGAAGAAGATCTCCGGTCATTATTGATCCCTTTTCTTGGCGTTACCTTTTTGAAGTGAAGTTTGCCTAGCTTTCTAGTGTGAGCTTTCTTTTTGAGACATCTCTAACGTTTGATCCGTAATAGACAAGCTATAGCTCAGCAATGTCCAAGTCGTTCCAGCAGTCATCTCTAACTAGGGATTCCCAAGGTCATGGGCGTGACCTGTCTGCAGGAATAGGCCTTCTTGCTGCTGCTACCCAGTCTTTAAGTGTGCCAGCATCTCTTGGAAGGATGAACCAGGGTACTGCACGGCTTGCTAGCTTAATGAATCTTGGAATGAGTTCTTCATTGAATCAACAAGGATCTCATAGTGCACTGTCTTCTGCTAGTGCATCTTCCCATACCTTACAGTCTTTATTTAACCTTGGAAGTAGAGGCCCACTCCCTTTGTCTTCTCAGCACCGTGGAGATACAGAGCAGGCCACTAACATTCTGGCCAGCTTTGGTCTGTCTGCTAGAGACTTAGATGAACTGAGTCGCTATCCTGAGGACAAGATCACTCCTGAAAACTTGCCTCAAATTCTTCTGCAACTTAAAAGGAGGAGAGCTGAAGAAGTCCCTTCACTGAGTTATGCTAGAGATGGCAGATCAGCTGCACGGGATCCTCCGTACAGAGTACCTAGGGATGATTGGGAAGAGAAAAGGCATTTTAGAAGAGATAGCTTTGATGATCGTGGTTCTAGTCTCAACCCAGTGGTTGACTATGATCATGGAAGTCGGTCTCAAGATTCTTATTATGACAGACTGGATTTTGAAGAGGACAGATTAAGAGATGGAGAAAGGTGTAGGGATGACCCTTACTATGGCGAGACATCGCATAAGTACCGTAAATTTGACAGTGAGTATGAGAGATTGGGTCGTGTCCCCGAGAGATCTCTCTTTGAGAAAAAGAGGGGTGCTCCTCCAAATAGCAATGTTGAAGACTTCCATGGACTCTTACCGAAGGGTTATCCCCATCTGTGCTCTATCTGTGATTTGCCCGTTCATTCTAATAAGGTGAGTTAAGCATCAGATGCTTATTTTTCTTTACTTTGTAGTCCCTGTTGCCTGTTTCTTTGCCTCAGTTTCTATGTTCTGGTTATACATAACACTGTGGTCTCAAAAAACAGAAAAGGCTGGTTTATTTTCAAGGCGTTATTTGCAAATCTGTTAAACCAGGACTTTATTAATGTTTCACCCATATGGCTTAAGGCCAGGTCAGTTGTCATCTAGTCAATTTATATTTTGCATCTACATACTCTCTTAACTTAGTTTGGGGTAGGTTTTTTGTCATTTTGTTTTTCACTTATTCAGGCAGTTAGGTTCGGCATCCCTTCCCATCTGTCTTGATTGCTGATTGATTTGTAGTTCAGATGCATCTTCAATTCTGCTCCCCCCCCCCCTTTTCTTGTTTACGGCCAAATGGTTAATGCAGAATCCTGGAAAATATTGGCGGCAACGTGGCTCACATTTTAAAATTCATTCTTGCTTTTGTGACATTCACTTGAACTGTTTTCATACTGTGGCTGAAAAGTTCTCATGTTTTTTCCTCCCCTTTCGTAACCTTCTTAAACACTTCAGGCTCACTTTTTATTATATGTTGCATCTGCCCCTTTAGAATCTCAGAAACCTCAGCCTGCTGCTCCATAGTGCCATGCTCTCAGTAGCACTCTCTACTTGTTTGAGTAGATCATTATTAAAATTTTGATCAAACTTCTCTTCATAACTTGGTTCTCAACATAGCAAGTGTGGCTTTATTCGGGTTTTCTGATTTTGTCAATTGGTTATCAAAACTGGCTATTGGTGTTCCTGTCATTACTTGTTTCAGAGCATGTTACAAAAATATTGCAGGTAAGAGCACACATTGTGAGCCTAAAACTGTTTTGCTCTGTATTGTCATTACAGTACTCTGTGTTGTCATTAATGCTTCCTTCACAGTAATATCTGGGAGGTGCATAATCTACCTTTGGAAAATATCCTAGTGATCCAAACCGTTCTTAAAACACTAAAATAAGGTTTTTAAAAAAGCAATATAAAAGCTTATTATTGGAAATAATTTTTGTAAGGTTTAATCTCTCTGGGGAGGGGCATTTACAAATCCTGCTCTGTGGTTTTAGACAGAAGATCTTATCAGAACATCTATCTTCTCAGCAAACTAAAATCTGTAGTCTTTTTAGAGGCAAATATTAAGTTACCTGTTTCCAAAGTTAAGCATTTTAAGTTTTCGCATCTTTAGCTGAAATACAAGATTTTAATATTAAGCTTTGACGATAATGATGCAAATAACTGAGGCATTTTAATGCAAAGTTGTTTATTCTGCCTAAATTCTGGGTATGCTTTCTGTAGAATTTCTGAGAAAGCAATCAATGCAGAGAGATTTACACTTTCAACAACAGAAGAAAACTTGCAGTATTATAGAATCCGCACCTAGAACTGCACCTAATTGAGAGAGACATTCTAAAATACCTCTGAATTGGGAGAGTTCCCACTTTAGCGTTTTGTGCTCTATAATCAAAATAGTTCTGCTGAGAAGAAGGGGCATATCTATTGGGAGAATCTTCTTGTTTTGTACTGTTGATATCTTTCTCTCTCTCCCCCTCTCTTTTTGATATTTCCACTTTCAGCAATTTCTTTTCAGTCCTAAATATTTGTGTGTAAGGCATACCTTCCAAATTGCCAAATGAGAGCCATTCTCAGCTTTGGCCCTTGCGTTTGAAAAGAAGTCACCCACCTAAAGACAGTTTCAAATTGGCAATTTTTTTAAAAGTGTGCTTCTCTTCAGGTTTGTGGTCATCTTCTCAGATACTCAAATATTCTAAATTCACAATTCAGTTCAGACTGATGGAGCAGCACAAGTCAGAGCAGCTACTTGAGCTTGCAGGATAGCCGGCATGAAACACACAGCTTCATATTCACATTTTTTCAAACGTCTGAATGGAAGATTTGCTTAGAAGCTGTGTTGGTTTTGGAAGGTGACCTTTCCCTCTTCTACATATTAGGATTGGATTAACTGAGAGACATATTATTCACATGACCCTTCCTGCTGGTAGCCACAGATGACAACTAAGAACATCTCTGGCTGCCACTGGGGTGCTGTGCCTAGGCAAGGAGGGAACCAAGGAAATTTCCTGTCTTGACTGTCCGCCCAAATAGGGTCCCCCAGGGTGCATCCTGTTGGTCATTTGGACGCTCTCTGCTTGGCAATCAAGGAATATAAATGTTCAGTTCTGTATTGTGTGCTGGCATTTATACAGTTGGAGGGAGCATCTCTTTGAATTGCTGTTAGTATAATTATGGGTTCAGTGGAATTTTGAAGTCCAGTAATCCTAATTTTTGTGTTTGAGAATGTAAAGGTGGAGATCTCTTTACCTTTTTACAATTGCCGAAATCACTTTGAATGTCATAAAAGTAATTTCAGTTTAACTCTCATTATGAATCCAGAAACAAATTCTTTCTGTCATGCTGATCCAGTAGATTTTGATGTTATGCTTTATAACTCTGTATTGGGGACCATGGGAGGGGGCCAAAATCTGTTTCCTGGAAGGTCTATGCGGCCCCCCTCTGGCTTCTGAGTTTCACAGGGCGTTGTCCATGCTCTTCCAAGCATCCCTTTGCAACTGTAAGCCTGCACATTTGTTTAAGTGACAGAGCTGGAGTTTTCAGAAGACTGAATTCCGCACTGGTGGCGAATACTCACAGATTTGCTTAAAAGCAACAGAGTGAGTGTTGCTAACGAAGTGTCTTTAATTTCACTATCATCTCAAGGTTAGTAGTGAAACCAGGGCTGTATTCAGGTTCATGTTGAGAATAACCCTGGTTTATTTTTGAGTTCATGTGCTTCATCCCTCTTCCACTTGTCCAAGGAGCTGAAATTGAAGATTTGCTGGTTTAGAAAGCTGTCAGACTAACTGCAGCTTACTGCAGAAGCTGATTAGGAGTTTATTTCTTGCCCACAAATGAGGACTGTGAACCACAGTTTAATTTTAGCATCCTGGCATGTAGAGGGGGAGGCATTGGTTTCTTATGCCAACTGAATTCATATGTTACAACCAGTGTTCCCTCTAAGCTGAGTTAGTGTGTGCTAGCTCACAGTTTTTTACCCTCCGGCTCACTCATTTTTGTCTTAGCTCAGGAAGGACGGCTCCAGAGCAAACTAATTTATGCAGTAGCCAAATCACCCGCTCACAACTTTAATGGCAGTAGCTTACCAAGTAGGATTTTTGCTCACAAGACTCCACAGCTTAGAGGGAGCATTGGTCACAACTGACAAGTATTAAGGGGAAGACTGTCTAAACCGGCGGAGAGTCTTCAGTCTTGGCTCTGCACCCAAGGGAAGGATGAATCCTAAGCCAGGCTTGTTCTCATCCTGAGCAAACTGGGTTGTATGTGACAACTGACTAGAGCCTTGCGGAAATGGTTTCTTTGCTGCACAAGCCCAAGAAGAAAAGACAGTGGGAATTAGAAACGCTTTCAGTTTTTCAAGCACTCTTAGCTGCTGACCTCTGGAGCCAGCCCGTGCTATATAACTGCGGGTAAGTGTTGGGGATGGGCTGTTGGGAACATGTCCTCGCGTCCCAATCCCTTTCATTGCTGGAAGTCATGAAAAGTGAGATCAGCATAGCTTCCCAACCACATTTAATGTTCATCAGGCCTTAAGGGTGCTTTAGAAACAGGTTAATTGAGCATAATTTAAATGGATTTAAATTAAGCACTCAAGCTATTAGAAGATTTTGCACCAGAGTGTGGGGGACAAGAGAGACAGCAAGGTACTGTGATCTATTTCCAATTCCTTCCCCGTGGTTGTTTTCGCAGAGTATAGTCATTAGAAGTAGAAAGGGCTGGATGCTCAAACAGTGCATGTGTTGCTGGGGGTGGGTGAAATGGAGAGACATGAGCAGTTGCTGCAAAGGGGGGGCCTGTTCTTTCCTTCTTTTCCACTGCCTTTAGATTTGAACTTTACAGCAGGTTAATTGAATCTCACATACTCCATTCAATCGTGGAACATAATTCAGACTGTTATATTGTTTGATTAGTAAAGCCCGATAAATTGGGGGGGGGTGCCCCTTCTTGCATATATCATCTTTATTTTGTCCCATGTTCACATGCAACATCTACAATATTCTGTGTCCGCCTGTCCGCCCCCCCAAACTCAGAAATCAAACAAACCAGCTCTGTTGGTTGATATAAGGTAAATACATTCCACTGCCCCTGTATACCACTCCTTGAGATTTTGATTGACATGCAAATGATTCTGTGGGTGTTTTTAACTTTGAAGTGCGTGGTTTTTTAAAAGCCAGCTTTTGAGTTCCTGATAATTTTAACTTTGTACTTTGCAGGAGTGGAGCCAGCATATCAATGGAGCAACACATAGTCGACGTTGTCAACTTCTCCTTGAAATGTATGGATCTGAATTTTTAAAAAATGTTTCTTTTTCATTATAATTGCAATATCTTATGTGTGTTTCCCCCAGAAAACACAAGTGCATCCATTCAGAAAGTTCAAAATGATTACCTCTTCTGTGTTCAATTTAAGTGCTTAGTAATAAGCATGCACCGTATAGTCGAGCTGTCTGCATATCATTTTGAAAGCTAATCAAATTGGTTTAACCAGTTCTGCAAAAATTTCGTGGAGCCATTTTTCCTTCTATAGGAGACTGCAGCAATACATGTGGTAGTGCAATGCAGCACATATGTAAATTAAACCATCAAACCATCATTTCTTATTGGCCTTGACTTAACTCAGTCACTCTAAGTGAATTCCATCTATAATACTAGTCTCACTAATAACAGAAAAATTACAGGCCCATCTGTCCATATACTTGGGGGTTTTAAAAATGCTTTTAACAGTGCTGTAGCCTTAGACTTCTTTAAAAAAACTGGTTCTTTTAAAGTAACAAATTATTGGTAACATGATTTTTTAAAAGCCCAGGGGAACATTGGTGCTTGGAAAAGAGCAATTCCTTGCCTCTTCCCTCCCACCTCTCCCCTCCACACCACCAAAAGAAAGAAGGCAAGTGCCATAGGTCTAGGAGAACCATGACCAAAGGCTTGCATTACTGCCACTGAATATGCATTTTGATTAGCCAAAAAGACCAAAAAGGTATCTGACTTTCACAAACAATAGTCATTTGCCTGAGAATCCCTGTTCTCAGAAATAGTTTTGCCCTTGAGCAAGAGTGCCAAAGCTCTGCGTGTGTTCCGTCCTCTGCTTCCAACATCAGTTTCTGCAATCGTGATATTTCTAGCAATTCGGATGATATTACAAGATCTGATCATTCGAGCTGTTACCAAATCTCCAGAAACTGTGATATTCCTAAAAGCAGAGTGGTCTTTTGCCTTAGAGTGCCAAATATATTTTGGTATACGCTTTCATAGGCTACAGTCTGCTCAGTTGAGTAAATGACAAGAAGCACCATCTTCCAGATCCATTTTGCAGGTTTGATGAAATAGGTGATCTAAGGAGATGCTGCAGTAAATGTTCTTGCTGAAGTAGTTTTCACTTGTCTTTACACTTTAAAACGATGCAGACATAATGAGCTTGGCTGTTTAAACTTGCGTGCGTATAATATCGCCAACAATATTTGACACTAGAAAGTATAAAATGTGTGTACCATCCTGCTTTGAAGTTCATCTCCTTAGAGCTATCATGGTTATGGGTTTTTAAAGCAAATGTTAGCTGTTGCTAAGCAGTTTTTTGGGGAGATGAGGAATATTTAGAGTGAGGAACTCCTTTTTTGTTGTTTTTGTTCCTTGGGTAAATGTAGCAACAGCTCTACCTTAGGAAAAGAAACCTCCTTCTTAAGTGTTGGATCCAAATCCTTCAAGAAGAAGACAAGTTTGCAGAAGGGATCTCATCCACTTCCCTAGCACAGAACTTAGTGCTCCCTAAACAGCCTGCTAGGTGGTATACCCACAGGTGCAGCAGCGTGGTGGTGGCACCAGAAAGGGGGGAATTGGCAGAAATCACCCCTCGGGAGCCCCACTCATGCAGCAGTGGGGGGTGTCGGTTTCTGCCCGCCTGGCTGCACCCCATGCTTGTTCCTGGGGTCTGCCTCCACAGGAGCTCCTTGGGATGGGGCATGGCAGGCTTCATGGAGAATGCAGCAGCAATCCATTCCATGAACTCTGCACAAAAGAGTTGGAGGAATTGCATAAAAGTGAGAATGACTCTGAATCTTGATATCATTCATACTCAAATCTGCCATACGTGTCTCCTCCTGCATCATTTCTTTGCCAGACTAAAAATAGACTTTGAGGTTATAATACAGTGCCTTGGTGTGGTGTGATGCTGATATCACCGAAATATTTGATCTTGTTTTAACATAGAGGATTGTGCTGAGACAAGCGTATGTTACCGTTCTTTCAGTTCCATCTTAAACATGTTTACCTTGAAGTACACTGTATTCCTGAGTTTGGTACTTAACTTCCAAGACAGTATGGAATAGATTCCAGAACTGAAGTAATTTATAAACTTGCTAATAAGAGAGACTGTTTGTGAAACACATCAAACAATGTCAGACCCAGTGAACAAGACGCTTTCAGACATAAAAAATATGAGGTAATATCAACGGTGCTAGCAGCCTTTTCTATTGAGAGTTTGGTCCCATAGCTACAATAGTAGTCAGTATTTTTTCCACTTGAGGCATTTGGGCTTTAGTTTTAATTGCACTGTAGCTCTTTAGCCATAATACTTGGGTTGCAAGAAACTATGTTGTGACTTCTTCTTCTTTTTTCTTTTTTAAGATACCCGGAGTGGAACCCTGATAGCGATTCTGGAATTGGGTTGTAAGTAAAATAGCTGCCAAAATGGAAGGAAATGGCTATGCATATTGCTTCATGTTTTAAAACTGTTCTCCTGTAGCTGTTTCTTTAAGCAGCTTATATTATGGAAAATACAGTGGGGAGTCTGGGGACAAACAGGAGAGAAACAGAAAAAGAAAGGGAGAGGGCTTCTGAATGCGGAGCATGTCTTTTTCTCTCTGCTAGCAGTTCTTCCTCATTTTAGGCTGAGAGCCCTTTGGCTTGGATCACTGGGCACAGCCAGGCTTTCAATGCCTGTAGCAGAGGAGAAACCAACTCAGTCAGATCTTACTCATCGGCTGCTAGCCAGGTAGCAGGGCCTTCCTGTCAAAGAAATAGATTTACATCCCAGTATGCCCCTTCTTTCTTCTGAAACAGTTCTGCTAGTCCTCACTTTTTGAGTGGACTTCTTGAAATGTTTGCTTTGTGACTTTGTGCAGGCATCCGAATTCATCAGCAAACTGTATGCACAGAACCAGCAAGAGGGTCTTTAAATCCCCCAATAGAAAGCAACTGTTAAAGATGGTGCTTCCTGTTGGCTTGCTGCCATGTGCAATTGGAATGACACATGGAAGTGTCTTCGGAGATCATACAGCTCCAAGAAGTATGTAGTCATTGTCCAGCAGTGGGCCTTGTTCAGTCAGTTATATATATATATATTAAAAATGTGACTGCAGACTTTTTGCATGGGTTACCACAGCATTGTGTCTGTGTGTTCTAGGAGTGATCCGTTCATGTTGCAGCAGTCTACAAATCCTGCCCCAGGAATTTTGGGACCACCACCACCTCCTTTTCATCTTGGACCACCAATTGGATCAAGAGGTAACCTGAATAAATGCATCTTTGAGAAGAATCCTCTTCCATTCTTGGCCATATTAAACTTTGCTGACCCCTATCAGTATGCTGTGTGAGTTCTTAATACTCGATAGGTACCTAAAGAAATCATAGCTGTACTTGAACTACATGTATTAAAAATGTCCTAAATTATTGAGAACAAAATGTTAAGTGCATGTTCCTTCAGTATTTGTAGATTCTGTTTAGGGATGATAAGGGGTGACACTGATCCTTTGGAGCAGTGGTCTTCAACATTTCCAGATTCTGCAGAGCTGAAAACATGTGACAGGAGGTTAGGTGACTGATGTCATGCAGCAGAAAGCAGCAGAACAGAGTTGCAGCCTCACTGGTGAGTGAAGGCTGGGATCATGGGCAATAGACCAAAAGCGCTGGGGATGAAGCACAAGTACCAACAGATGTACAGTAGTGAGGAACAAACTAAGGATCAGAACCATAGAGTTGTGTTCACCTCTGAGTGAGCTTAACCACAAGCAAAGAGGCTCAAGAGCCTTGGCCCCCTTGTTCTCTACACAGCAGAAGATAGCAAAAAAGGGTAGCTCAGTAGGAGCTCACAAGCCAGTAGGAGTGGCTACCTGATCCATCAGTTGAAAACCACTACTTTAAATATGTCTGTAGTGCAAAAACATAAAGCTGTATTGCCTCATACATCTTAAACCGGTCATTAACGCACGCCGTATGACTGCTTTCTACTGAAGTTTCAAGCGTTCTGTGTTGTAATATGGTTAGATGTTACCTCGTGCATAATACTGTTGGCAGTTTTTCCAGTTATGCAACTACAAATTTGCTCTACTTTGTTTATATCAAGGACCTGGAAATGGAAGTATGCAAGGACCAAGACACATGCAGAAGGGAAGACAGGTTGGTATCAGGCCAGAAAAATATAGATATTTACATCGAGCCATTGACTGCTTTGGATGATGATTTATTCAAATAATATGAGGACTTCGTTGTCACTGAAGTCGTAAACTTGTTTTTGGACCATAGCACTTCCAACTGCAGATGGGGGCTTCCAAGACGGAACATTCTTCCATGTCATGCAGTTCCCTTCATACGGAGATAAACTAGTATCTCAGGAAGAAGGGCTCCCATCTAGTTTTCTCCCTGATATATTAGCTTCCTTGTACAGGGATTCTTTTCATATGGAGGAGGATTCCCTTGTGTTAAACCCCCCCCACACACACACTTTCGGTCTGATGGGTGCAACCTAGACAACTTGGTAAGAACCTGATCACAACTGGATTTGGAGGCCCTTTAAGGTATACATTATTTTTGGCATGTTGCTTTAAGTGTATACTCAGGGCGACATGCTAAAAGGCCACAGGTAAGACAAAAACATCCAGAAGACTCACTTCTCAGACTTAATTGTTTTCAGAATAATTGGATTTAATCTGGGATGAAAGATCCTTCATTCCTGTTTTTAAAAATGCTTGTGCTGACTAGCTCATCAAAAAATTAATTAAAAGATTCACTACCAGAATGACTAGGATGGACATTTTAATCATCTCTCTTTCTGCTTCATGTGTTAATTTGTTGATTGTTATTCTTTGCCATTAATAGGAGACAAGCAGAGTTGTTCACATTATGGATTTTCAGAGAGGAAAAAACTTGAGATATCAGCTGCTGCAGCTTGTTGAACCATTTGGAATGATCACAAATCACCTTATCTTAAACAAAATTAATGAGGTAAGTTTTTTAACCTTGTCAAACTACAATTTCTCTAAATGATTTTGGAGGATGTGAATGTTTACTGTACTTCAGCAGGCAACTTACATCAATGTCCCATGCCTTTGAAGGAGACATTGATGTAAGTTGCCTACTTTTTGGGGTCTGGCGAGTCCTGTGCTTCATGATGTCAAAAAGTTGTTTTCTGCCTTCATGATTGGCGAGAACTGGCTTTTGAATATTACAGGATTTAGTATCCCATAGTTTGCATATGCTGAGATGAAACATGCTTACGCTGATGATTAAAATGTATCCTGTAGGGTTGCAAACCTAAATTTTGTATTGGGTTCGTGCTAAACACTTTGAAAACCTAACCTAGAGCAAATTGATGCTCCCTTGAAGATTTTAAGGCTGTTCTGTACCTTTGTATTTTGCTCATTTCTTTCTTCCTAGAAGAGGAGTGCATGAGTTATTTTTCTTACAATTTCAGGCATTTATTGAAATGGCTTCCACTGAAGATGCACAGGCTGTCGTAGAATATTATTTGTCAACACCAGCATTAGTGTTTGGCAAACCTGTAAGAGTACACTTATCACAGAAGTATAAAAGAATAAAGGTAAAATCAGTTTTCTTTATTAACCTCCTTGCACTGGTGTACTTGTCATTTTCATTTGTCATGTGTAACCAGTTCTTTCTGTGGTCTAGTTTTGTGACACAAAATTAAGGCTCCATGTTTGGTATAATGGATTAATAAAAATGTTTTTCTCTAACTGCCACCCCTTTTCTTGTTTTTAAAGAAACCAGAAGGGAAGCCTGACCAAAAATTCGAACCTCCCAAACAAGAACTTGGCCGTGTGATCCATCTCAGCAATTTGCCGAATTCAGGGTATTCTGACAATGCTGTACTCAAGCTAGCAGAGCCCTATGGGAAAATAAAGAACTACATACTGATGAGAATGAAGAGCCAGGTAGTGTATCTGGTCAGGCACAAGACTGGGTTGCGGTGCAGGGCTTCAGAAAGCAGGGACATAGTGTGTGGTACAACACACAAAAACTCATGTATATGCAAAGAGCTTTCTGTCTTCAGGTCTTATTTTCATGTATATTCGTTCTGACTGTGTTTCTGTGCTTATTTGGATGGGAATGTGCCAGAAATCTGTGGACAGAAGGGAAGGGGGTTTGGGACATAGACATGCCGTAAAATGCGGTGGTAATGAAGCAATGGAATGGACTGTACTACTTGACACTGCAGGTGAGGGGCTATGTTTTTCAAAGTTGCCCTACATTAATAATTCTCTGTAAACAGAAAATTAGGTTCTAGTCTAGTCCTTGGCATGCATACTTAGCTGTTTCCTTGATATGGTAGCACTTTTTTATTTGCATGGAGTTTTTACATGAGAGCAATAAAAATAAATCATTACTTTTAAGTCCAGAGTGGTAGAGCCCATGTTGGCACTTCCAGATTCTGCCGCCTCATTTTGCTGCATGTGTAGATCAGCTCTTAAGGGAAGCTAGGAAGAAGAGTGGAGGAAGGGAAGTTGGGAAGTTGGAGGCGGGGCTCCTGATTGCTCAGTCTTCCATAACTCATCTTTGTTGGTCCCATTTTGGTATGTAGTGTCACCATTTGGTGGGCAGTTGACTAGGCCTGTCACTCATAGGCTCACTGAAGCTCTAGATCCTTTCAGCTGCTTTTCCTCAGTCTTGGAACAAAATGTGTTATCAACAGCCAGACAGATTAATTGCTTATCAACAGCCTCCTAGCATAGATGAGTGTGACTTTCCCAGCCAGTAACTCTAGCAGTGATTCCTTAAGTTCACCCTTGAGGGGAGGGACTTGAGAGAGTTATGTCATAACATTGCATAGTGAAATTTCTTGTCATTCTTCTGTAGGCGTTCATAGAGATGGACACCAGAGAAGCTGCCGTTGCCATGATGGAGCAATGTTCCGACAGAGCCCTTTGGTTCCAGGGTAGATGTGTGAAAGTAGACTTGTCTGAAAAATACAAGAAATTGGTATTAAGGGTGGGTATCATGTGAGCTTAAGGTGTTGCTCATTACTCTTAAGGAAACAATGTAGAATGGTTTTGTGAGAAATTTAAGGATGACAGCTATATATGGTATTTTAAATTGGGGAAGGCTTTGCTAGCAAAGAGTACAGAGTAAGCCAAGGCTAACATGACTGGTTTTTTGAGACTGTTGATTCTTTTGGCACTTGCTGCTTCTTATTATACTGTATAACCATAGCTATTTCAAATGGGAATTTTTATTTTAGCCCATCTAGGCAAGTCCCTCTTGCTTGGGACAGAGAGTCTATATTGATGCCAGATAGCCTGGAGGTGGGAGTGCCCTTTCGAATCTGAACCTGAAGGTTTTGGGATGGCAATTCAGGCGTTTGGCATCTGATTAGCCTCCCTATGCGTGGCCTTGAATTGGGGAAACGTAGCATAAGATATTGTCTTTTAGTTTCTGCTTGTCCTGTGATCCCAGGAGCTGGATAGACCAGTTACAAGTGCTGTTGCTTAATAAAGATAAAAAGAGAAAATTGAAAGGGCATTTTTAAAGAGTGCCTGGGGGGGGAACAATTGTTTACCGTATTAAGCTAACGTAAACTGCTTTAAAGTAGATGTGTCATTGTATATTCTTATACTCAACTGTAGTACCATCTGCAGATTCTTAAATCCGCAGATTGAGGCCACGTTGACAGAAGGGAGATTACTGTTACTCTTTACGGTGCCACAAGTTTCCATTTTCTTTACTCGAGTCTAGTGCTTTGAGATGTTTTGAAGACTGAAAATATCCTTTGAGTAGGCATCGGTTGTACTAATGCAGAACCCCAGAAAACACGTGTAACTTAAAGCTTTTTTCCCCCTACAGATTCCTAACAAAGGAACAGAATTGCTGAAGAAAGATAAACCGCGGTAATTTTCGATAATTTAATTTAATTTAATTTAAAACTATAAAATTGAAACAGGTAAGCAAACTTTTGTTTTTCCGTTTTGTAGAAAGAGAGGCCTTTCTCCAGACAGTAAAGATTCTGGAAGTGAAAAGAAATCCAAGACAGACGATAGCGATAAAAATGAAACGAGCAGTGTTGAAGACAAAGACGAGAAGAAAGAAGAGGCAGAGCCAATGGAAACCAAAGACAGTGAGCAGGCAGACCAAGATGAATCCAATTTGGTCCTTGAATCGGAGGATGAGCTGTTGGTGGATGAGGAGGAAGCGGCAGCATTACTAGAGAGTGGCAGCTCAGCCGCTGATGATGCTGATGTTGCCAACATGGGTGATGTAGCCACGGAAGAAAAGGTGGCAGCTGATGCTGATGCTGGCGTCACAGCTGAAGGGAATGAGGGAACCACGGCAGCAGCAAAAAAACTCAAAAAGGTAAGCCTCAAAGGATATTGCCAGGAAGAAATGAGTTGAGCATAAGAATATTTGGCTTTCCATGTACTTGGGGGGGGGGGGTTGGAGTTAAATATTTCCCCTCAAGGAAGCTATTGAATAGTTGAGTATCATGACCAGGGTCTGAGAGGAGAAGGGCTTGTAGGGGGAAGGTGTGGACATGTACAGTGGCTCTCCCTTGGACACATAAGGCATGTGTAGACAGCAGTAATGGCCCATCTAGTGCTTCCCTCTCTGGCAAAACAAGCATCAGCTGAATTAAAAGCTGGCTTGGCATTTTCATACAGCAGCTCAGTTACCACATTGCCCCTTAGTAATCCTGCACATAGAGTACCACTTGGCACACAACAGACTTCCAGTTCCTAAAGACTTCAGTCATCCCTGTCCGCTTCCTCCTCCCAGAAAGGCCACAGTATTGTAGGTACAGAGTACAGCAGCTCCAGCTTTGATTCGGTGACGCGCAGTGGTCAGGAATGTGATTGGTGGAAGAACGAAAAAATTCAAGGGCACATCTGTCCATGGTGGTATTTCCCAGCCTGTGTTTTCAACACAAAGTGCAATTGAGACAGCTGCCCATCTATTACTTGGAAGGTTTTCTCTGCCGCAAAAGTCCATTACAAGGCAGAACAGTTACTTCCGAAGTAACTTCTGGCTTCATGTAGTGGCTCCATGTATAGAGCAGTGGTAATATGAAGCCAGTGGTGTGGGTTTTGAAACAGTGACCATAGCTTAGTATCTGCAGTGCCAGAGAGCCCTTATTTCTGTCTGTGCTGTTGAGTGGTGACATCTTAAAAAGACAGCAAAAAACAAGACACAATTGGTGCTATGGGAGAATTAATTTTAAGGTACTCTAAGACCCCTACATGTTTTGCGTAGACTTTATTGGGGGATCTATAAAACCTTATAGTCATGACATTTCTCACAGCAACAGTGTCTGAGCAAAAAAAGGTAGATCACCCAATCTGTAAGAAGAACATTCTTGGCCATGGAATATTTTGATCTTGGTCAAATTGTCCACCTGTTTGACTGACCAATTGGTACATGTCTGAGCATTTGTCGTCCTTGCATGATTGAAACTGTACTTTGGGGACAGCAGAAGGAAGCAGGAAAAATGCATCAAACCAGCAAGGAATGGATTGCCCATTCATTAGAGTTGCTACATATTCACAACAGGCAAAGCTAATATACTTTTTCCTAATGGTACATTTGATATCACCAAGAGACTTTACCTGAGCCCCACGAAACCAGTGCAGGTGGGGGAACCTGGTCCACGAACCAGATTTTCCAGATATGGGGGAGGCCATAATCTGAGCTAACATCTAGGGATCAGCTGAATACCAGAGGCCTCAGTTTCAGTTTGTGTCTGTGAACAAAACGAGGGAACGACCTTTCTAGATATGCCCTTAGATCCCCTTCTGTTGCATTCTAGTGATATAATTAATACCATTGGCTTCCTGGAAGATACCTGGTTGTTGGGACCTATGCAGGCACCCTTGCTGAAGAATAGTGATTATTACTGATGGACTGCATGGAACCATGCACAAAGTAGTCAAGAACCCAGGCCTTGGGGTCCCTCTGTTTCTTGGCCAAGCAAGCAGTGCTCAGATCTGTGGGTCCCTGAGGCTGTGCACACAAAAAAACCAATCCTTGGAAAAAAAATATACATACAGGTTTATTGAATGATTTTAAAAAGGAGTATCACTAGGCAACACAGTCTCTAGATTGGCTCTCTTTGCCTTGGCCGCTAGAAAAATTAGAGCAAAGAAATCAAATAGTACCATTGCAACCAAGTGAGTGATTTTAAAAGGTCTTATTGGTTTTAAAGGTGTTTTATATGTTTTAATAGAGGTTGAAACATTCTATTATATGTTAATATACATATTTTCTGAGAGTGTTTTGGTATTGTGAAGGCTTATGGCCATATACAATGAAACGTTACCTACCTACCACTTTAGTACCTTGCATTAGATGGCACACCATTCAGAATATCAAAGTCCAGGCTAGAGGGTTAAGCATCTTCGAACATTCAATTGCAGTGAAACCTATCACAGTTAGCACTGCTGGCCCGTGGAATCATAAAGTTAGCATGACCTCCTTCCTGTCTAAGGCTGAATTATAGTCTCTTGCTTACTGGAACCCTCTAGGGAATGATGACTTTCACTCCTGGCTCCCCCCTCCTATCTAGTTACTGAACTGAGCTCAGGTTTCTGCACTTAGCCAGTTACTGCATTCTCAAATCCGGCCTTGAAAGAGATAGGGAGGGTGATCTATGAGGAGCCCTCATTACGAACACTCGGAAGCCAGAGCAGACCTTATTATTCACATTAAGCCTTGGATGAAATTAGGGTGCTTTGCCTCACAAGGTCACAGAGGGTGAGATGCCCAGCACTCACCTCCCCCTTGAGAATGTGTCCCTTCTGATGGTTTGTACCATATTGTAGAAGCCTGTCCCTGTTAAGCAGGGGATAATGAGGGGGGGACAGGTTTCCCCTGTTGCTACAATGGGATAGTCTGTGGCCTTGGCATTCTTGAATTCCACAGACTCCCCCCCCCAATTCTCTCTTCTGGGAGTGCTTGTGGCTAAGTACCAGGTAAAATAGCACCATTGGACTTTGGATATACACTTCAAAAAGTTGTGACTGTAGTCCTATCTAAAAATTGTGTCAACAGAAGCACGCTGGTGGATTTCCAAAAAGCATGGAAGGTTTTGTCACTCTAGATGAAGTTGGTGATGAGGAGGATTCAGATCATCAGAAACGTAAAGCTGCCATGCTTAAGGCTGCCATAAGCGGCATGACTGAAAGCAAGGCAGGTACAGCTGACGAAAGTGAGGCGGACAATGAAGCGATGGAGAATGGTGCCAAAACAGAGAGCATGACGCGGGAAACATCTGATGGGACCAACAACGCTGCAGCCCTGGATGCAGAAAGTACAGAAGCTCAAGAAACTCAGGCTGCTGTTCCCGATGAATACAGAATTGGACCATATCAGCCAAATGTCCCTGTTGGTAAGAACAGTTCCCTCTTTTCCTCCTCCAGCAGGATCTTCATTATATAGTCTCACTTTTTTGTTGTGCTCTTTCATTGGTTTCCTTGCACAAATTCAATAAGGAGGCAGAATCTGGTCAACAGCCAATAATTCATGCATCATCAGAATTGTTATGTGGGCACAAATATGGTGGAGCTAATATTAAATCAGAATGATTTCCTGATTTTACTTTTGTGTGTGTGCGTGTGTTACGTGCCATCACATTGCTACCAATTTATGGTGATCCTATGAATTAATGACCTCCAAAGCACCCTACTATGAACAGCCTCGCTCAGGTCTTACAAACTGGGGGCCGTGGCTTCCTTAATCGAATTAACCCATCTCCTGTTGGGTCATCCTCTCTTCCTGCCGCCTTCAGCTTTTTCCAGCATTGTCTTTTCCAGTGAGTCTTGTCTTCTCGTAAGGTGACCAAAGTACAATAGACTTAGTTTGGTCATTTTAGCTTCTAGGAAGAGTTCAGGCTTGATTTGATTGAGAGACCACTTGTTTGTGTTTCTGGTAGTCCGCAGTGTCCATAAAACTCTCCTCCAACACCGCATTCCAAACAAATCAACTTTCTTCCTGTCAGTTTTCTTTGTTGTCCAACTTTCACACACTCACATAGTAATGGGGAATAGTATAGTATGAATTATCCTGATCTTGGTCACCAGCAGCACATCCTTACACTTTTAAGGATCTTTTCCAGCTCCTTCATGGCTGCCCTTCCCAGTTTCCTTCTGATTTCTTGGTTGCAGTCTCTCCTTATGGTTGATGATTGAGCCAAGAAATGGAAAATCTTTACCAAGTTAAATTTCTTAATCAACCTTAAAAGTCGTGTGAGTCCTCAGTAGTCATTACTTTTGTCATCTCGATGTTCACCTGTAAGCCTGCTTTGGCACTTTCTGCTTTAACCTTCAATAGTAGTCGTTTCAAGTATTTTTTTTAAAAAAAAACAATTTTATTAGGATATACCAATAAGTAAAACTATACATTACAAACTATTTTATATCCTTTTCTCCTAATATCCCCCCCTTCTGACTTCCCGCAGTGCTCCAGCCTCCAGCACAATTCTTATATTTTTTTTCTCTTTTTCCCATTCTTCAATAATAAAATTCTTCAGGTAACATATCTTTTATCTATTATTCTTATATGTTTAAACTTACTCTAAATGTCCTTCTATCTTCAATAATTATCAAAGCAAAATAGATTATTTTTTACATCCCAATATTTCTCTAAATATTCTTTAAAGTCTTTCCAGTCTGCAAAAAATTATTCTTTCTTGATTCTTAAGCTTTCTTGTCATTTTGTCCATTTCAACCATAAAAAGTAGCTTAGTAGTCGTTTCACGTCTTCACTGTTGTCTGCCGGTATAATGTGGTGTCATCAGCATATCTTAAATTTGTTAAGAATGTTTAAAGGAAAAGATGTATGTACCTTGTATAAGATTAGTGAGATAAACCTGGAACAGACCCTTTGTTCAATCCAAAAGGAGCTTAGGTACACACACTGGCACTGAATATTGTAGGGTAGATTAGCCACCTTGTGTTTCTCTTTTCCTACTAGGCGTGAACTTTGTGATACCCAGATCTGGATATTACTGCCGATTGTGTTCCTTGTTCTATACAAATGAAGAAACAGCAAAAAAGACCCACTGCAGCAGTCTTTCCCACTACCAAAAGTTGAAGGTAAGTCAAACCTGTTGAAGGTGTTGTTTTGTCCCCTATGCAGATCTTAGAAGTTCAGAAATGTAAGTGTAGTTCACTGGAAAGTAGTTTTGTTGCAGTTTGTTGAAAAGACTCCTTAGATTAAGGCCAGTATGGGTTGAAAAACCCCTTATAGACAGTTCTACAAGAGTTAAGAACTTTCTGGGAGTATGCCCCTTTGAATACTTCCGAGTAGATGTGTTTAGGATTGCGTTATTAGTCTTGTAGACGTCAGTCAGAGGGAGTTGAAATCAGTGGAACATACATTACTTAACTTTGGCCTGTGCTCCATTTAATGTACACATAGCACTTAGTTCAAGACATAACATCAAACATAGCTCTCTGTGCGGAACAGGTTGTATGCTCAGAGCTACATGCGGCAGTTGTGTTGAACCGTTAGAATTCTTGTAATTGCAGAATCCAGAATTTGGAGCACAATGCTTTGAAAAGAGAAATTGGCCTGGTTTCTGACTTTCTGAATATGCCAAGGCCTTGCAAGGTTTATTTAACCTTTCATTCCCCCCCCCCCTTTGTTGCAGAAACAAATGGAGAAAATGGCTGAAGGACAAAAGCAGAAAAAGGATGCGTAAGGGCAACAGAGGCGTGAGGGCTTAAGGAAAAGTGGTTTTATTTTTTATGTTAATACAGTACAATTGGGGAAATACTATGTTATGTAGCTTTTAGTGGAATACCGTAGAAGTGTACTTCTGTTAGTGTGTTTAACGTTATGGTGCATTTGAATCAACACCATCTTTGTTTAAGGAAAAAACGGATTGGGATGGCAAAACGGGATTTTTCTGTGCGGATCGAGGCAACTCAAGGACTAAGCGTTTTGAACACCAGAACTCACCTCGTCATTAATCTTTCTAGGCTTCTAAGAGTATCCCTAACCTTTTATTCTGTTCAGTTAAATGTAAACGGTTACTGCTTTCTGGAGCCAGTCCAGCCAGTCCAGCTGATGTTTTTATTTTCAAAGGGTTTCATAATTTCATTTCACTTTTGAGAAGTCTTTACATGGAAGTTGGTGTGGCTTTTTTTAAAAAAAGGAAAGATTGGATGCACCTCCATTTAAGTGTTGATGCGTTACTTAGAGAATAGGAAAATGGATAGGCAGCTTTTAAAAAAAAAACCTTGTTGCTCTTTCCCCAGAGTTCTCATTTCTGTATTATGACTAGCATAAAGTAGATTCTTATTCTCCTGACCAGTATTATTATTTTTTCGGAGCTCTTCTTGCTTGCTACTTGAATTTAGTAGTTTTCATACATCTCCAGTATAAGCAAAAGCAGCATTGAACCCTAAATTGTAAATAGTTACCTTTTTACGTTTGTGACCTTTTTTTTTTTAATTTTTCAACTCTGATTCTAAACCTTGTTACAAAGGTGTACCACTGGAATCAGTGGGCTTTGTTTCAAAGTAACAGGTTAATGAATTGGGCCATGCATCTTCAATTTGGTTTAATCCTAGGATTGTGCTCTTGATGTACCTTCATGTGGCTGATGTGAATGGGAGCTTATGTGTGTAACCTGTTCTCATGTAGTTTGTTAATGATTTACCAGCTAACATCTATGTGGATTCAGTTTGTTATGGTGACAAAATAAAACCAAATCAGTCAAAGTTTAAGCGGGGCGTTTGTGAGTTTTTTAATGTGTGCATCGTGCATGTGTGGCAACTTGATACAGTAGCACAGATTGGCACCAGCCTTCTGCAGTGGGGCTCATTGTTTGCTGGTGCTAATCGTAAATCTCATAAATCTACAGCACGGTTAACAGTGTATTTTATAGCCACTCAGGATCCTGCTTGCAAGGCAAGGAGACCCAAAGAGCATTTGTGTGTCTCTGAAAAGAAGGCTGCCAGTTTTTCCCCTTTCCCTCTGCAACTCCTCACACTTGATCTCTACAGACCTTCAGATTCCTCTGGCCTTTAAGATTATGGGGAACAGCAGTGGGAAGGAACTCTGAAAAGCACCAGTTCATCCCAAGAGTATTGTACTAATAGCCCAGCCTTGACTCTAAGGCTGGGTCGATTGTCACACTGATGTAGTGAGCATGCATACCCTATTATTTTTGCAGCTGTAATGAGTAGACCTGGACGGGTCAGGCTTAAAACTGATCAGTTATACATTCAGTGAACTCTCCAGTAGACGTCTAGAAATTCTCTTAACTTTATATTGGCCTCGGCCACACAGGCAGGAAAATGCGGCGGGGGGGGGGGGGTTTGCCCCGGGGCAAACTAACGCGCGACTGCGCGATCAGGCATCGGGTTGAGGTCCCGCCGAGCTCCCGTGGGGGAGGTGAGATCGCGCCCGGAAAATCCGCCTATCTTCTGTCTCTCTAGCGTGCCTAATGCTCCGTGTGACCGGGGCCAATCATAGCTTTCCGGATTAGTGCTATGCGAACCTTGCAAAGTGTGGGTGGCATCTCTTTGCAAAAGCTGTGCCAGAACAAAAGAAATATGCACAATTAACAAATGGAACCACTGGGGCACAGAACATTTCTTCCTGTGTTTGTAAAGAATCTTCTGGTGAGCAATCTTAAAAATCTTTTCTCTCCATTTAGCACAATTGCAAAACACACTGGTAATAGCTATGTAGGACTTGGGTGTGATGGGGCAACAACAGAGTCATTGATATTGGGTGTGTGGTGGAGAAGGCCACAGACAGGTAAGAAGAAATGGAGAGAGAGGTAGCATGGGGGGGGGAGGGGAGAAGTAGAGGAACCAGGCACTGAGCGGCATGCTGATGTAGAGTGGGCGGGGGCCAATGGTCAGGAAAGGCCAAAAAAGTTTGAGGGAAGGAGAAATGTTAAGTTGCTGATGGGAGTGAGGGGTCAAAAGAAGAACATCAGGAGGCCTAAGGGAAGGATTCAAAATAGGGATGAAGTGAAAAGAAGGAAAGGCGGGAATAATAACTGGGAACTTGGTGCCAGTGTTAAGAAATGAAAATTATTCAGATGGTGTTTGGTGCTGTCCTAACTTGCAGGGATGTCCAGCAGCATGTAGTTCTTACGAGTTAATGTTCCATCAAAAGTTGAATTACTAAGCTTTTGTGAAGAATGTACTCTCAGGCATCAAATCGCAAGGCGGGGGCAATCAGACCCCCTCCCGGAGAGGAGCAGGATCAGCGCTATTCAGAAAGCTCTCCACTATCCTCCCGTCTTGTCAGAGATTGGCGGAAATAATTCTCTATTAAAGCACAGTTTATTCAGCGACAGACAGAAAAAAGCAATTCTCAAATCCCACTTAGCCTCCCAAACCCGAGAACAAAGCAGCAGACACCCACACAAACCAGGTAAACCTAACAGTGTGCATCATTGCTGTGGTGCAGATGGACTGCTGGTAGGGTCTCCTTACATAGGAGGGTTGGTCAACCATTTGCCATTTTTGGGGTATCTACTTCGACTGTGTTCAAATCAACTGCCTATGGCGTTAACGGCACATCACAATGAACACACACATGGTGGGAGAGTCCCTGATGTGATCAGGCGTCATGGACCCTCTTTCAGGCCTTATCCGGACTTCAGGAACTATCTTCTCATCTGGTGCATCGTTTCTGGGATCCTTGTAAGAAACAACTGACCTTGAAGGGTGATAAGCTGGGCCTCTACATGTCTCCAGCTGCTGCAAAAAGATTCACCTGTTTCTGAGAGAGGCAGACTTGCGCTTCTTAGAGAAGCACAGAGGATTCTAAAGTGGTTGTGCTTTGGCCAATAGGAAAGGCCTGGCAAAAGAGGGGAAATCTGCTCAGAAAATGCAAGATTGTTTTCATTTCCATCACCAGCAATTGCTTGGGCAGGGTTGTTTCTTTGGAGCAAAGTAGGAGAAAGGAAGGCCTTAGTGAAGGACTAAAATGGCACCGCGTGGAAATTTGGTCAAGGGATTCCAGAAAGGCAGGAGATCAGAGCCACCTAGAAAGCTGGAGCTGGTCCTTCATCATCTAGTTTTTTGATAACCTCCTGATATGTGTTGCAGTCCTTTGGCCATTCTTTCAAGTCAGTTTAATAGTTTGAGCCTGCATTCTCATGAAGATAGCCACCTCGGCTTCACAAGTGCAAGCTAGTCTGGATCCTACACTTGACCCACAGAAATTATCATTAAAGACTCTGCAGTAGGGAAACTGTAAAAGCTGTACAGCTGTTCCACCCATGTAGCTCTCCCAATCAGATGATGCTATCAGTGCCTACCCAAAACTACGCCAGTTGTATATCATTCCCTCTCTACTGCTGGCAGCCCTTGACACGATCACTGTGTGTCTTTACAGCACAAAGTTGTATGCTCATGCATATGACTTAAGTCAATGGGAGCTGCAGGGATGTAACTGGTGTGCCAGTGCTGTAGCTCTGAGAAGTACCATGAAATAGAAGAGAGGAAATCCTGCCCTTGATATGTAGTGTCATTTCTCCTGATTTTTTTTTAACATCACAAAAATCAATTATTAGACACAAAACCGCTTACAGAGGTACTTCCTGTTCATCAAGGCCCTTCAATGCCTCATTGTAAATCATTGCCAGGACACCGAGGAAGTTCACATATTCTTGGAAGTTCACCTCCTGGTCTTTATTACGATCCCGATTAGCCATCAGTCATTAAATCTCAGATCATTCAAGTGTGGTCCAATGGTCAACTCCTTCTGAATCAGTTCCTTCAACTTCTTGTTCAAGGAGGTCTTGTCACCTTCTTCACCTGTATACTTGTGAAAAACAGCAACCAGGAGGGCAAGAGCTTGGTCGGGGGGGCATGCCATCTTCACAGTTTGAGTTGAAAGTTGATCAAGAAAGCAACGGGGGGGGGGGCAGATGTTGAGCCCCAGGAGAGGGCAGAGAACCTTTCTTCTGATTTTCAACAGCTGTTGTTATTTTCAGAGGACACACGTGATCTGTGCTGCAGAAATCTGTCAGTTGAATTTAATTCTGTTTGAAATGTCCGTATAGGGCGATTGCCCACATACTTTTCTATGTATAAAAAGGCAATCATGAGGAATCAGTTCTGCAGTCACAGCATCTAGAGCCTGGTCTCCATCTCCCATGCAAGAGAACTTGTCCATGTTCAGAATAAGCTTTGATTTGGTAGTAAAACCCATAATTAGCACATCCCAGGTTCAGCCCCGCTGCACTGATTGGGTTCCTACATGGCTGGGAAAGGCCCCTCCTGGAGATGCAGAAGAATTACCGCCAGTAACCCCTCCCCCCCCAGGGTCAGTATTCCAAAAACAAGGCAACACACCATGCCTGCTGTGCAACATGGTGCCCACTGACACCTTTCTTGGCGCTGCAAAGTGTTTTTAGAAAGTGGATGGGACCAGATGGGGCTTTTACCTCGTAAGGCTTCTTATCAGCCACTGGAGATTTGATTGGCTGTGCAGTGTTGTTTTTTTTTAAATGTTGCTTCGGTAGTAGCTACCACCACAGCACAAGGCTTGTCACTGTGTGACTGAAGGTAACCTGTGGCAGCCATATTGTGGTTGGCTCCATCTCCAGCCCACCATCCTGTCAGAATTCCAAAGGTGCCCACAAGTTCAAAAAGTTGGGGACCACTGATGTAACACAATCTTACGTTATAAGTGTCAGGATCCACAGCAAAACGACAAAGTACACGCTCCCAGGAAGGTTTTACTTTATTGAAAAGCCATAGATGCAATAACATGAACGCTGTTAGAATGGCGGGTTACCTATGCGCATAATAGGATATAGGGCATTCGTATGTGCCCCCCCAGCTCTACCCAATTAGATGGACTCCCGCACGCGGGCATTTGGCTTATTCTCTAACGGCCGCAAAGCTGGGAACGAAAGGAGCTCCCACGAAAGCTAGACACCACCAACCTCTCCAGTAACCTTGACAGAGAAGCGTTACAGATTTGAAGCAATTAAGCGCATGGGAAGGAATGCACAGCAATTAGAAACACTGAATACACTCATGGCAGCTTCAGCTGACAATAAGGCATTAGATAAAAACGTAAACGGGTGTCCAGTAAACTATTAGCAGTGTTGGGCTCCTCAGGATCAGGCCCTCTGAAACAAAACAGTTTGTGCAAAAAAAAAAAAAAAACCCCACCTGAGTGTACCATAGCAGACCTCTTGAGGTAAGGAGTTTCACAGCTTTGTTACTGCTACAAAGAAGGCCATGTCCCTGGTACATAACCACGGCACCTCAAAACTGAGGGAAAATGAGCATTGGGAGATGGCCCTTGATAAAGAAGTGCTTTACATGATCATAGACCCAGAGCAGTTAGCCGTGTTAGTCTGTTGCTGGACCCCACTTTACGTGCATAATATACATGACTAGAAGGGGAATAAAACTAGTATGACTATAATCCCACGAGATGTGGGACAGTGTAATATTTTCTATAAACATGAAAAAAATCCACATAACTCGCATAAGATATTAATATTTCGTAATCTAACGTTTCTATGTCAAACGTTCTATTACAAACGCCTCTGGCCCGTATACCGCTGTAGAGGCAATGACCATTGCCGCTCTAGGCGTCGCCATCTCTGTGGCGAAAGCCCACGCTACTGTTTGCGGCGACTTACAAACCCCGGCGCCATTTTACACCGGAAGTGCTCGCCGAGACTTCTAATAGGACCATAGAGACAGAACCATCCGTCCCAACAGCACACCATACCCAAGTGGCGGAAGTGACTTCATATCCGGCCAGGGGTGGTTGTTGTGTTTCCGAAGGAAGGGGGTGGTAGGAGAAGAAGGAAGGAGGGAACTCGGGTAAAGGAGAGGCAAGACGCAGCGGCCAGCTCGGAGCCTCCGCATCCGTCCTGCTTCTGTACGAGGTGCGCCTCAGTGGAAGGAGTCGGAGGGGTGGGTGGGGCCGAGCACTCTTGAGTGAGGCGCCGCCGTTGATCTTCTTTCCCCCGCTCCGCTCGCATGCTAATGACGGCCTCTCTCAGGCAGCGGAAGAAGAGCCAGGCGGGCGGTTGGCGAGGCTAATGGCGTCGGGTGGGTTGGGGCGCGAAAAGTCTCGCCTAGCTCTTTTTCATCCGGGTACCCGGAGAAGCCTACCTGTGCCTCTAGGTGCGTGGTGCATGACGGGACGGCGCCACTGCGCTCTCTCACTCTCTCTCTCTGTTTTCCACGCCCAACTTCTCCTGAGAGGGGCGGGGCTTTAGCACGCTTGTCGAGGGGAGACAAAGAGCGGGGGTGGGCGGGGCTTGGAGGGAAGCGCGAGAAGAGGCGTGGCCTAAGAGCCGTGCTAAGTTCCGCCTCCTGCCCTGTCAGGGATGTCTGGGCCTGTTTGTCCTGGCAGACTCCTGGGAGGGGGGGGGCGTGAATAGGGGGGTGGGGGGGGGGTTTTCCTGTGGGGAGGCCATGGAGCTCTGGGGAGAGGGGAGTGATATGGTGGAGGTTTATGAAAGTGGATATTGTGGAGAAACTTAGGATGACAACGTTTGTTCCTCCCCACTTAGCTCCCTGCCCCCATAATACTACTAGGTTCTGTGATGAAAAATTCAGATGGGGTAGCCCTGTTGGGCTGAAGCAGCAGAACAAATTTTGAGTCCGGTGGCACCTTTTAAGACCAGCAAAGTTTTATTCAAAGTGTAAGATTTCCAGTGGGTGAGCCCCCCTGTGGGATTGAATTGCCTGTCTCCGGGTGGGGGTGGAAATCTCCCAGAATTATCAACTTCTCTCTAGATGAAGCTCAGTTC